TTTTTTTCCAATTATAAAAATACACAAAACTTAGTTTTCCACGATAATTTTACAGAAGAGGCGAATGAACTGCATCATAAACTTGACTTAATCATCATCATCATATTAAAAGACTGTCAAAAATGTTTAATCACCCTAATCGAAGAACTTTTCAAACGATTACCTAGTCAATTAAATACTTTAAAAAAAGCTTTAATTTGGTCACCAGGAAAGTGTGTGAATCGCACGAGGGCGAGTTTCAGGGACCTACCAATTCACTATTTGACTTTAAAGGAAATAAAAGCAGCGGAAACTGAATATTTAAATCTTAACTTTCCCATGGAATAACTTTTCTCGGAACCATTCCATCCGACTCTGAAGAATTTTGGATAATTGCTTACGGAGTGAAAACTGCAACAGGCAATAAAATGTTTTGCACTCAATGCTTTGTTCAGCGCGTTTTTTTCGTAATGAATTCAACAAAAACTAAGATTCGAAATAGGATGCGGTTGGAAAGCCTTAATTCAATAGTTCGAATAAATTGTTATATGAAGGCTAAAACTTTCTGCTGTAAAACGTTTCCAATATCAAACAGTATGTTATGAAGGTTGAATAGCTCAATATATGACAACAACAGAAATGTAAATCATTCAGACACTATAGGTGATTTTGAAGAAATTGTGTAAATAGCTGATCTCGCCGTATTATAGGTTTTTATTTAATTTTTAGCGCCGAGCTAAAGCGGATTGTGCGATTAATCAATTAATATGAGTAATAATAAATTTAATAATTACGCAGTCCTATTGCAAAATGTGTTGAAACAAATATTTTTAATAAGTATGCGTATTTTTAAAGAAAATTGTTTGTGCATCACTATTATATAAGTGATTTGTGCTATTTATTATTACCCTCTGAAGGTATTATATTCGTTTTTGGTTTTAAAAAACAAGATTATAACAGTATCTCATTTTTTAAATAAAATATTTGTTAAATCGATTTCATAAACTTCGTTTAAAACAAAAATTGGCGATTTTTTTTTGAGAAATTGTGCTTTGCTTCCATTGAATACTGTTCCATCGAGTGCGCCATAAAGACAGAGGTATAAACGCTTGAAATAAATGTATGTCGAGTGAAATCGGATTTTGTTAATGCGGTTTTAGCGTAGGTATAAACAAGGTAATATAAAATTCAGAATCAATTAAAATAAATGATTCCAAATTGTTTTTGTTTGGGATTGAAAATGAGAATGTGTGTGTGAGCTTGTGTTTAAAATTTTAAAATTAAATAGCTCGCAAGCGTCAAGAATTTTAAAAGTGCCTCTCAGCGGTTCTATCTTACTATATTTTTATCATGTCCCGTTCCAGCTCCCGAAATTACTGGAACGATGCCGGCCAAGACAAAAATTATTTGGATTCCTTTTATGTCCAATGTATTTCACATATTCAAATATTTTGCGATTGCCTCACATAGTGCATATGTACATCGCTTTTAAAAAATGTTAGACACGACATAAAATTATTTTCACTATACATATCGCACGTTTAATAATACAAAGATTTAACTCAAAATTTACGTTTTTGGAGATTTAATTATGCAATTAATAAGCATGATAATTATAAAATGTTCAGTCTAAAGCAGTCATCACACGAGTTATACATTTGTACAGATTTGTATATTTTCACCGTTACAGAGTGGTGTTGTTTGGAAAGTTGTTATTGAGCTAAACTCATTTACGACAAAAATTTCTAGAAAACCACTCCGTGACTGCCAAATGTGCTAATACATAACCGTGCTTAATAGATAACCAAACTTCCCAAATATGACGAAGATATGTATGTCTGGCTTTTGCATACCAACTGTATGAATTGATAAAACTTTGATTGCGTTTTCCCACAAAATTGAAATTTTGAAATACTTCGTTATATTATTAAACGTGCGATATAAGGTCCATTCCTTATCTTTTTGGACTAAAATCTGAAAAGTGTCAAAATGCAAGAGCGTAAGCAAAATGCGCTCACTAAAATAGAATAACAGGAAAAAGTAAAGGAACGCAAAAAACCAAACTTTTAGTCCAAAGAATAGGAGTGTACTCGTACGACCAACTATCTAAAGTTTTAGAAAAGTTTTACTGGTTTTGCATTCTCGTACCCAAAAAACTTGCAAAGTAGGAGAAATTGAGAGAGCAAAATTTAAAGAGAGCTGCAAATTTCTGCTGGAAAAATTTTTCCCAGCTAAAACTTGCAAGTAAGAAAATCAGCTGATCACAAACACATGTTTGTAAATAAACAAAAGGAAATATGGCCTTTTTGAGTTGTTTATTGCAAGTTTTATTATTAATGCTAGTATACAACGAAAAAGTGAGTAAATTTAATAAGCACAACGTTTGTTGAGTTTATTTTTCGTTCATTTGCTATTAATCTCCAGTTTGTTTACTCTAGTGTCTGCTGACTATGGTTGCCGTATGACATTTTTCGTTTGTACCATAATTTTCCATTAAACATACCAAACTAGATTTAAATGCAGCATGCTGAAATGTTTTTTTGCTGAAGTTTTCGGTTTTGGTAGGCTGATTGTTGAAATGAATTTTATAATTTTAAAGCTGTATCTATTACATTTCTTTTGGATCAATGATGGGTGTTTGGAGGAGATAATCTTTTTTTTTTTGAATGCGTCACCATGTGATATCCCAAATAATTATGAAAAAAAATAACTTATTCATTCCGATATAATTAATTTGTATTTAAGAAGGTTTTTCTTATCCAAAACTATTCAATTGTATAAAATACCAAATCGGGGGAAAATGTACCAAGCAGAAAATAAATTGCCAAATTAATCACCAGTGGCAACTGTGTAAGTGATCAGCTGTTTCGAAGGTTGCAAGTTTTTGCAAATTTTGCGTTCTCGTACTTCTGTTGATATTTCGTCTCTTTGAGAACGAATTCTGCTAAATTCTCAGAACTTTTTCTGCTGGAGAATTTTGTCCTCTCAATACGAGTACACACCTAATGGCAAAACTGTCATTTTAGAGCTAAGGAACGCTTTTAGGACTAAATCTGACTACTTCGGACTTTTTCTTACTATTTCTGGGATTTGAATATAAACGGAATATATTCAGCATATTTTTTGAATATCTCGGTTCGAAATTGTCGGAAACACTTAAAAACGGAGTAAAAATTGAATTCGTTGTCGATTTTATTATAAAACAAAATCTAACAACATATTTCTCACCATTGGTCCTTTATTGTCCCATTCTTTTATGATGCTATGCGACTGAGAGCCGATGGGCAACCACATACTAAAATTCGCGTTACATATGGCAACTGGATACTGACTGTCCATGATACAATAATACAATGTGTTATCGGCTGGCAGCTTCTCGCTCTAATTCCGCCATATTGACTGCCTTAGGTGAGACAGTGTTCTTGAACAATTCTTTGCCCAATAATATAGTTGAAAATTTTTTTTTATTTTTTCTCAGTATACACATTTTTACTTAAAAAGGTATTTTATCTTATTTTATTTCATTCCATTACAAATATACTATAAAAAAGCAAATTTTATTTAGGAAAAAATGTGAAATTTTATATTTTTCCCCCAAATGGGGCTTAATTTCTTCCCGTTTTTCTTCTCATGTTTCAGTATCAAATCGAGCTGTTACAACTGATACCACCTTGTATTATTATGTGGCGAATACTGCGGCAACGCGAAGCGAACAACGAGAAATAGGCGGAATGTTCGAGGAATGACGTAGAATGTTCCACAAAGAGAAACGTCAAGTTGGATGAACACTGCGAACAGCGAGAGAAAGAGAATGAGCGATAAACTTCAGAATGTTCTAGAGTTGCCATAAGTGCCAGCGCAGGTATATAAGGGCGCCGCCACAGCGAGGTGAGTTAGTTACAAGACAGCAAGCTACAAGTAAAGTGAGCAGAGAAGTGAGTTGCGAATAAGCAAGATATAAGTTTACTTGTGTTACCAAGTTTAGTTAAGCGCTGTTATTGCTTTAACAAGTGTTGTTAAGTGTTTTTACTGTATTAGCGAGTATTGTAAATTGTTTGTTGTACAATAAAGTTAATTGTACTACAATTTGGTCATCGATTGCATTTATTTAACAATCCAGCGATACGAACCGAGAGATTTGGGAAATCCGGACGAGGTTTCAAGGATAATCGTAACAATTGGTGTCAGAAGTGGGATTGTTAAATAAATCCCGAAGGATAAACTACTGAAAATGGCGAAAATTCAGGACTTAAAGATTGAGGAGCTGAAACAAGAGTTGGAAAAGCGTAATTTGGCCACCTCCGGAAGAAAAGTGGAGTTGTTATGCCGGTTGCGGGAGGCTATGGAAGCTAAAGGCATCGACGTGGACAAATACGACTTCCAGGGTAAACCCGACGATGCATCCGCAAAGGACCAACAGAAGGATGAAGCTGCTTGTTCGTCGAAGGATGTGCAGCAGACATCCGGGAAGGTTGAAGAACAGCAAAAGGCTCGTAGTTCATCAACAGCTATAGACATGAAAACGTTATTAGCTGCCATGTCACAGCTGACGCTTATCAAAACTTTACGACACTCACATATTGACAAGATTGGCCATTTAACTTAAAATTATTTAATTTTAATATTTGTTTATATTCAACAATTTATATTGAGCTCGAGGCCGTTTAAATGAAAATTTATTGTGGGAAAGCAACAATAATTTGAAAAAATGGTAGAAGTGGTAGCTATTTGCCTCAGCCAGTTGCCTATGCACCGTGCTAAGTACGCCTTGTAAATTATCGTTTGCTTATTTCCACTATTTTCATTTTTGTTATGCCAACACAATCAAGCGCAGCTATTCCGCTGCAATTCACTTGATCATGTGGTTGTTGGTATTGTTGGTTTTTGCTAATAATTATATTTTTAGAATGTTTAACTTTTA